TCCACAGTTTGGCTATTGCGGACATTGCTGCTATGAACATTGGGGTGCATATGGCCCTTCTTTTCACTACATCTGTGTCTTTGGGGTAAATACCAAGTAGTGCAGTTGCTGGGTCATAGGGTAGCTCTATTCTTAATTTTCTGAGGCACCTCCACACTGTTTTCCAAAGTGGTTGCACCAACTTGCATTCCCACCAACAGTGTAAGAGGGTTCCCCTTTCTCCACAACCTCTCCAACATCTGTTGTTTCTTGTGGCCAGTTAGTTCTACAGCGTGGACCGGGGACCCCTGCAAGGCACAGTGACCGCAGCTGTGAGGGGCAGGCCAGGAGACGTGGAGCCCAGGCCTCTGCTCCAGACCACACATACTCACCGTAGATTAAAGGCTTCAGCGTCCACAGTGCACTCGGTCAGGAGGACCCGGATGTTGTTGAGCCGCCCGTGCATGACAGCAAGATGAAGAGCTGGAGAGTAAACCCTCTTACTGTGCAAGCCCAGGAGCCCACACAGGAAATATGGACGGCTCACAAACCTCCCCTGGAACGGGACGAGGCTGGAGCAGCCCCTGTCTACTCACACAGCCATCCCTTCCAGTCTTCACCACCCCCAGGACGGAGCTGTGCATACAGCCTCGTAAGACTGTGCTTTCTGCTTCCACAATCACCCAGAGCTGAGACTTCACGGTTTTACCGCAAACCGCTTTAGGGCTCTAGGGTTACCGTGCAGACAGAAAGCTGCCCAGGAATGGTCCGTGGGAGGGCAGACGCCCAGCCCAGAGCTCTCCCTGCTACAGCTCTGCTGCTGTAACTAGCCCACCCCGGGGAGGGGGGGCGGGGAGGATCAGGGTGTCACACACCTCCACCTCCAGACTGGGGGCACTACTGAGGGCACTCAGCATGGGGCACAGGGGGATGACTGGCGACTACCATTATTTCCATTCTCATCCAGAGCAGCGAAGTCCACTGCGTTCTCCAGGAGGACGGAGCAGATGGTGGGCAGGTCCTGCTGGGCAGCAAGATGGAGGGCAGTCTGGCGATGCTTCGTTAACTCATTCACTTTGGCTCCTGCAAGAAGCTGTGGAAGCTGATTACATGAGCAGCCTCTCCACCACAACCAGCGAAGGCCCCACTCACGGGGGCCAAGGCTGCCCATCTCCAGACGCACATCCGCCTGGCTGGCACCACTGGGAGCACAGGGGCCTCGCACACGCTCCTGGGGAGACATAAGCCAGCCAAACCCGTCCCAAGCGGAAAGCGGCAATTATCAGTATGTGAAGAAGCCATTCCTTAGGACACAGAAACTCTACATCTAAGCCTTCTGGATATAAACTACACAGGATGACAGTGACATTCACCATACTGCATAAGGGTGTCCACTGCTTACAGTAGCAAAATGAGATCACAAGAAGGGTTCAGTTATGAAAATTACAGGATGTCTGAACAATATAATAGGTAGCCATTAAGATGATAAAGATTTATGGTTAAACACGGAAGGATGTCTGTGATAGAGTAAGTAAAAAAAAGGCCAGTTCGAAGACAGTAGGACAGTATGATCCCGTCAGCAGAGAGAGAGAGAGAGAGAGAGATGCACGCACGCACACTCTGAAGGTGTGTAAAAGCACATATACCAAACTCCAAGGAGTCGGGGATAAAAGGGAGACACGACCTGCTTCATTATCCTTACATGCTTTACGTTTTTCCCCAATAAGCATATACTATGTTTATATTATTTTTTGTTGCTATTAAGATTCTATTTTTAAGTAATCTCCACACCAAACATGGGGCTTGAACTCACGACCTCGAGATCAAGAGTCCCACACACCACTGACTGAGCCAGCCAGGTGCCCCTCCTATATTACTTTTTAAAACTAAGAAATTAACCCAAAGAATTACAGAATCAAAAGCAGGAAGGACCTTTTGACAATATCCTGCCACTCATTCCTTTTCTGACAGGGTTCCAGTCTGCAGCCAGAGCCCACGGTGCTCCCCCCGCGGCCTGAGGCCACCCTGGCCTCTGCGTGTGCGGACACTGCCTCTGGGAGACCAAGGCCCTGCTGAGCGGCTCTGGTTCGGACCCTGCCTTCCCAGTCCCAGCCTCCCCAGACCTCTGGGCGCCCAGTGAGAGCATGCACAGGTCCAGGAGGACAGAGAGGGGCATCCGTGGCCACAAGTGCTGCATGCATGTGCTGGGGTTCACAGCTAACCTCAGGTTGGTTAACTGGGGAGAGGGGGGTAGGTCTGGGCAAAGGCACTTTTCCGAGGCGAACAGGCTCCAACGTGAGGCTGCACGGCCACAGTTTGATCAGCTGTTTCCAGGGACTCCCACCACCTGTGAGGTCAGGGAGGCAGCACCACGACCTTGAAGGGACCTTGAAGTAATACAGGAGGGGCACCTGGCTGGCTCAGTCGGTGGTGCGTGGGACTCTTGATCATGACCCTCTAACCTGTCGAGGCTCTCAGACGGATGGACACATGGCCTGACTGCCTGCTACTCTGAGGCCCACCTCTGCCCCCGTGGCTGGTCCCCACACCCAGTCTGACCCCCCGCCAACCATTCTCCAACCCAGCTCACGGAAAACGCCCTCACACCCCACCACAGAGGTAAATGCTCTCTCAGCTCTAACACATAACAAGTCATAAAGGTTTTCGAAGAAGCCTTTTTCAAAAACAAAAATGGGATAGGGGTGCCCAGCTGGCTCTAGTTGGTAGAGCACGTGACTCTTGATTTCGGGGCTGTGAGCTCAAGCCCCACACTGGGCACAGAGCTTGCTAATTTAAAAAAGGAAAAAAATAAAAGAAGGTAGGGCACCAAGCACCAGTCGAGTGCCCCACTGGCTAGTTGTGCAGCATGTACTGGGGCTGATGGGACAGCAGCCGGCCAGGTGACATGAAGCCTTCGCCCTGGATGTGCTCTCAGCTCAAACACTTGCTTGGCTTCTCCTCACCAAAAGGATAAAGGCTGCTCACAGTTCTTGGTCTGCAGTGTCACACCCTACAACCTGGTCCCTACCTGCCCCTCCAACCACATCTCCTACACTCTCCCCAAATGTCAACCAAACCTTTCTAGTGAGAGCACCCCATGCACTTTCTAGTCTCCACACCCTTGCTCAGACCGTTCCCTGGCCTGCGTGGCATTATGTCACGCTGGAAAAGGCAGGCTTTGCAGTCGAACAGAAATGGCTAAAATCCCAGGCACACTACTGACTTCCTCATAATCTTGGGGGAAAAGTTCTTTCTGAGCTTACATTTTCTCCTTTGTAAAATGTAAAAATTTTCCTACACCTCTCTGGGTGGTTTTGAGAATTGAGAGGTGGTAAGCTCCCTGACATCAGTCTTGGCGGTGATTTTTGGATCTGACTCCAAAAGCAAAAACAAACAAGTCAGGCCAGAAACTAAAAAGCTTCTGCACAGCAAAATCATCAACAAAACGAAAAGGCATGACCTACTGAATGAAAATATTTGCAAATCATATATATGGTAAGGGGCTAATATCCAAAATACATACAGAACTCATTACAACTCAATAGCAAATAAATAAAACGATTTAAAAACAGGCAGAAGGACCTGACAGACGTTTCTCCAAGGAAGACATCCAGATGGCCAACAGACACACAAAAAGATGCTCAACATCACTCATCATCAGGGAAATGCAAATCAAAACCACAATGAGATACCACCTCACACCTGTCAGAATGGCTAAAATCAGCAACACAAGAAACAGCAGGTGTTGGGAGGATGCGGAGAAAGGGGAACCTCGTGCACCGCTGGTGGGAACGCAAGCTGGTACAGCCCCTCTGGAGAACAGTATGGAGGTTCCTCAAAATATTAGAAATAGAACTACCCTATGATCCAGTAATTTCACTACTGGGTATTTATCCACCTTAACAACCACGTTAACTTTGATAATCTAGACCTGCTTCTGGCCTCCTTGAGAGTTCTCCACAGAAAGGAGAGGGAGCCGCCTCCCGAGTCTGGGACCCCACCTTCTCCTCACAGGTGCGCCCACCTCACGCTGCACAGCTAGGGTCCTCACAGATGCATAAGCGGCCCGTCACCGAGGGCTGGGCCTGCAGCCCCACCCCCTCCCACAGCCCACCCACCCCCAGGCCACCCCCAGAGCTGTGCACGGCCTGTGTTGCTGGAAAAAACACTATTCTGAAAAGCTATCTGCAGCTCCCTGTCCACTGCAGCATTATTTACAAGTAAAGCCAAGACATGGAAGCAGCCCATGCGTCCATCGACTGATGAGTGGATAACAATGTGGTGTAAATACACAATGGAATATGACTCAGCCATCAAAGAGGATGGAATCCTGCCATTTATAACAAAATGGATGGAACCTGAGGGCATTAGGCTACATGAAGTAAGTCAGACAGAGAAAGACAAATACAATATGATCCCACTTATATGCAGAATCTAAAAAAACAGACAAAAAACCCAAACTCATAGATACAGAGAACAGACTGGTGGTTTCCAGAGATGGGGTGGGGGTGTTGAAATGGGTGAAGGGGGTCAAAAGGTACAAACTTTCAGTTATGAAATACTAAGTCCTGGGCGTCTGGGTGGCTCAGTCAGTGAAGCATCTGCCTTCAGCTCAGGTCATGGTCCTGGGGTTCTGGGCTTAAGTCCCGCCTCGGGCTCCCTGCTCAGCGAGGAGCCTACTTCTCCCTCTCCCTCTGCCTCCCGCTCCCCCTGCTTGTGCTCTCTCTCTCAATAAATAAAATCTTAAAAAGAAAAATAAATAAATAAAATACATAAGCCCTGGGGCTGTAACGTACAGCATGAGAACCACAGTTAATACCATACTGCATATATGAAAGTTGCTAAGAGTAAATCTTAAAAGTCCTCATCAAAGAAAAAAATTTTTGTGACTCTGTGCGACAGATGTTAACCAGACTTATTGTGGTGATCACTTTGCACTATATACAAATACTGAACCCCTGTGACGTACACCGGAAACTAATATAATGTTCTATGTTGATTATAGCTCAATTAAAAAAGAAGAAGACTGATTAAAAAGAGAGCACGCAAATGCACACACGTGGGAGCGGGCTGAGGGCACCTGCCGCATGCCCGGTGCCGGGCACAGACGTGGGCCTCCCTTCCCTCACGGCCGGGCCTGCCTCAGCCCCCGAATCCTCCTTTCCCTCAAGGCCTCACCCCGGCACTCGCTGCATTCGCTGCCTGCTGGGCTCTCAGGACACTCTGCCTACAGACATAGCTGCTTTCCCAAGGGCACTGGCTTAGCAACCCAAATTCATGCCGGCCTTTCAGAAAGCCTGGCAAAACACCTGTGATGAGAGCTTCTGCATGCGGCACGACCCGGGGTCCACAGTCACATGCAATGTCTCAGCGACACTTACCAAGTTGCGGACAATAATCTCCGAGCCTGCTTGGACGGCGAGGTGCAAAGGGGTCAGCTTGGAGGCATCCTGGACTCTGGAATTCACATTAGCCTGGACGCTGATCAGGAACAGGACGCTCTCAATATCAGAGTTCTGAACTGCCACGTGCAGAAAATTCCGGCCCTTATTATCCACCTACGGCAACAAGTGGGAGCCCAAACGTTAGTTAGGGAGCAAGGGCTCCCCTTGCAAGAGCGCCTCCTTGAGCACGGGCCAGGGGTGATGGCGTCACCAACCCCTCGGGTCCAGGAGGCTCCCTCCCAAGAACCAACACTGCACGTGCCCCCGCAACAGACCCTCTCCGCACGTGTGCACCTGAGCACGCGCGCGTGGCCCTGGCACCCTCCGGCAGCAGAAGCTGATTTGGAAAGCTGAGCAAGAGACACCCTGCAGGGCAGGAAAAGGAAGGGGTGCTCGGGGAAGGAGGTCCAGGCGAAGACGAGCCGCGGAGTCCCCTGCTCTAGCTCGGGACGAGCACCGGCACCCTCCCACCGCAGCTGCAACACCAGCCTGACCCTGAGCAGTTCCACACGTTTCTTCCTTTATCGAGCTACAGGACAGCAACACCCACGGCGGAGGGAGCGTCCAGCGCGCTGCAGACGCTGCTCTGCTCACGCGAACCAGACCACAGAGAAACCGCAGTTTCCAGAGCCATCGTGTCGGCGTGAGGGGGCAGCAACATGCCACGCTCACGGGGCACACGCACAGCACGTGCTGCTGTCCGAGGCGGCGTCTCTGCAAAGGACTCTGGTCCACGGTGCCTGTCCCACTCGTACGTGAGGACGCCTGAGCGGCCACCGTTCACCAGCATGCGAAAGCACCCACACGCTGCCGAAAGTGGCGCGGGGTAGCCCGAGCGCCCAAGCGGCGGTCCTCCCCCGTGCCGGCATTTCGTTTTGTTCAGAGGCCGAGTTTCCACATCACTGTCATCAGCGGCCTCTCCTGGGTCCTGGCAGTGCTCTACGGGCTGGACGGGACCCCAGCCCCGCCTCGGGCCAGCCGCGGCTGGCACTGCCCGCCCAGTCCGCACCGCAGGGCAGCACTTCACCAGCCGCACTGAGCAGCTGCGGAAGAACCACAGAGAAGGAAAGCCTGAGCCTGCTACGCTGGACAGTGACAACCCCTCAGAAACTTTCTCCCCGGAGAGCTGCCCCAACTCCACACCAAAAGCTCCTCCTGTCCAATTCAAATCTCCTGAAGACCTTCGTTACCGAGGCAATGAGGCCAAGCAAGAGCACAGGATGACACCACTTGGGCATGCCACAGAATTCCTCTCCTGGGGCCTGGCCACCTCCAACCTCCCTGTGTGTGTGGCACCACCGCGTGGCTGACACGGACAGCCAGGTCTCACCTGGCACTGAGAGTCCGTTGGAATGGCCAGACTTCAAGAAAGGGGAGAGTAATTTCAACACAAATGTCTTCATGGCTGGGAGACCTGTCTGGCTGAGGCCATCTGTTTAGTCTCCACGTAACGGGTTCCCCCGAGCTCGGGCCCCGTGCAGAATGTTGGGGGCGGGTCCCTCACCTGCTCGGCAGCCCCAGACTCTCGCTTGAGGATGGCCTCAGCTGCCCGGTTATTCTTGTAAGTCATGGCGCAGGCAAAAGGGGTCAGCCCCTGTCTGTCGCGGACGCTCAAGTGGATATCGGGGTGGGAGATCAGCAACTGAATGATGACGCTGTGCTGGTTGCTGATGGCCACGTGGACAGGTGCTCTTCCTTCTGCATCCTACAGGGACAAAGCACAATTTCAGTGTCCAGATGAAAAGAGAAACTCAGGAAAAATAGGAAGGGGATCAAATCAAATTTGGTTCTGGGAACCAATACTGCCCCCCTGTGTTTGAAATCAGCTTTTAAAGAGGCCAAGCCCAGAGGAGACCAGAAGCCAATGCCATCACCCCCACGCTCCGGTGACCCAGGGACACAAGCGTAATTGGTTTAGAAGACGTACGGTCACCCTCACCTCTGAGACCACTCCCCACCCTGCAGCCTACGTCAGTCCTCACAGGCCAGGACACCGAAGAGCACCAAGGAACATAACTCAGGGGTGCCCCACGGAGCTACCGGAACATTCTCAACACAGTGCTCAGCTTGAGACCAGGACACAAACTCTCTCAATGGAAAGGTATAACCAACGGAGGTAAGAAGCAAAGAGAAGCTGGAAAAATGTTCCTCCCACTGTAGAAAGGACAGAGGCACAAAGCGGGAGAGTCTTCACCTGAAAGCCTTACACTTACTAGGCAGGCTGTATGACCCAGAAGAAGTCACTCCATCCGCCTGTCCCTTAGCCCCACTCACAGCCAAGCCGAGGCCCAAGACCGAGAGTCTGCAAGGACCCTGGCAGTTAAGGGATTTCCCTAATTCTGTGGCCAGCATCCATCTCCCTGGAAAGAGAAATTCTCCATACCTGTGTGTTTACATTGGCACCGAATTCCAGAAGACACTGGACCGTCTCTTCCAGCCCCCAGGAGGCTGCCAAATGCAAGGGGGTCTGCCCATCTCTGGCCTCCTCCTCCCCTTCTCCATTAGGGCCGGGCTGCCTGGGACTGTTCACGTCGCAGCCACTGAAAGCAACAGGGAGATGAAAGGTAGGCTTCAAGAGCCAGGCTTCCAACCCAGCCAGAGACCTGCTGATAAATGCACAGTAGCAGCCTCATCCAACGAAAAAGCTGCTGCTGCCAGGACTACTGTCTTGGTCACAAATACTGACGTCTGGGTCCCACTCTCATCAATTCTTCTTTGGTCTTAGGGCAGCCTGGGCACCAGAACTCTTCAAAGTTCCCCAAGGGATCTGTATGCACTTATAATCTGCATACCACTGCTCTAAAAGTTCCTCCCAGGCACGCTGCACTCCAAGTGTGCTGTGGACTCATGCACCTTTGGGGGGGGGGGGGTGTCCCATAGGGGCCATCTGGTTTCCTCCACCCCAGCCTCCTGGCTGCATGGTGTGAACTGGTCTGACTGGACTCTTGGGAGCCTCTATGGCCTCCAGAGCAGGAAGCTGGCTCAGCTTCTAGACTCTGTGATATGGGCACCCAAGCCCTCCTCCTCAGAGGTGGGTCAAGTGCCTTAACCGGGGACATCAGACCAGCCAAGGCACGCCAAGACTACAGCTGAATAAGACACGAGGAGACACCTGGGGTTCTCAGACCTGCGAATGAGGAAGCAGGCGGTCGATTCATTGTTCTCATCAATGGCCCTGTGCAGGAGTGTCTGCAGGCACCCACTGGGCCCCGGGCCCCAGCACGTGGCATCACAACCATGTCTGACCTGCAGAAAACACAGTTTACTCCCAAACACTGCCCAGCAAAGTCGAACATTTTATCACTGAGCTCTGAGTACACCATTAGATTCATTTCTTTCAGGTGAGATACAGTTGAAATTAACTGCTAATTCTTTTAATCTGTACAAACGCAGATTAAAATGTGCTTTGTGCCAGGTCCTGTGGGACGGGTTTGGGAAATACAAGAAAGACAGAAAGACAAGTTTATCATCGCCCTCGGGAGCTGTGTCCCAGGAGGGAGAGAAAACACACACACTCCCCTGGCCTCAGCGACACACCTGGAACTCACAGGTAATCTCAGCACAACTGGGTGAGACCCCCAGCTGGAAAATGCACTACTGTCACATTTCAGAAACCTGAATGAGGACTTCCTGGGCCTGTCTTCTGAGTAAGGGAGACAAACCAGAGATCTGGGGACTTATCACTACGGTAAGATTAGTGAGGGCAGCCCACATCCAAGGATTCCCGAGGAGGCACCTCAGCTCTCTGGCTTCTTGGTAGTTTTGGCAAAGACAGTCTACAAGAAAGTGTTGGCCAAGGTTACGCTGAACTGCAAGTTTCTTTAACAGGACTTTCCACCACTCATCCTTGACCCAATTGGCTGCTTGGCAGATCTCCTGCTCCCTGCCAGGCAGGCACTGAATCAGTCTTGGACACGAAACACCCCCACGTGTAACCAGAGGCGGAAGCTCTGCTCATCTCACCAGGGTAGAGGCGATGTCCTCCAGACTGTTTGCCAAGGCGAGCCACAGTGGGGGGTTCCCCTTCTCATCCGGCACGGACATATCCGCTCCCCGGGTGCATATGGCATCCACTACGAGTGGAAGCTGGTTTCTGATGGCCAGCTGAAGGGCTGTCTCCCCGTCCTGAGTCCTGCGAGGACACGCACACCAAAACCAACGTTTGTAGCTGGAGCCAAACGATAATGCGCGCCCTCTGGACATCCCAGAGGCCAGAACCCACACGACTCACGTTGATCAATATTCTTTCAGAGCAATTTAACCTGTCAAGAGCATCTGTCCCTTCTGCCTTTTTAAAAAATATAGCTGTGCCATCCTAGTACACCCAGAAGGTAGGGGACCAATACCCCAGCACAGTGACACCTCTCGGGCATCCAGCTGCTTCCAAGAGCATCTCAATAAAATGCCATCACGGCTGCCTACTTGACAAAACACGTCTTTCACCTCAGTCAGTCAGGGTCACCTGACACTGGAGATAAATTCCTCTGAAAATACAGAAATAACAGAAACTTCAGTCTGTATTTCTCCCCTGAGGCTTTCTGACAGCTCATTTGTTGGAATGTTCTTCGTTATGCATGAAATCCCTCTCTCAACAATGGCTTCTGGACTGTTCTTCCAATGAGCTCTGGGCGGTACTGTGGCCTGCTCCTGAAGGGTTCCCCTCCACCACCCCGCAAGTCTCAGTGAAACGGGAGCTGGTACTGCGGCGGAGAGTGCTGCTCCGGCCTACCGGACGTTTATGTCTGCCTGGTGCTCCAGGAGGAAGAGCGCGCTCTTGCTGTCCTGCCGCTGCATGGCCATGTGCAGCAAGGTCTGCCCGTCCGACATGGCGTCGTTGATGCAGGCCCCGGAGCCCAGCAGCTGGGCTGCGATCGTGTGCATGCCTGGGACACAAACAGGCCCTGACTGCCCCACGTGCTCAACATCTTACTGCAACACACACCCCTTCTCGACTTCTCAAAGCCAGCAGTTTCCACAGGGTATTACAGGCTTAACCCAAACCCAATGATGAGCCCAGCCCCTCCATGCCTCCCTCCCTCCCCTCTCCTCCACCCTTCCTATGCAGGTCTGTCTGCAGACGCCGGTAGCCTCAGGCACCCCCTTACCAGTCCATAATGCCAGGCCCAGCACCGTCTGGTCTCGGGAATCCTTGAGGCTGAAGTCCGGAATGATTTGCAAGTTGTTGGTGGCATGAAGAGCATTAGCTAAAATTTTTAAAGTTAACAAACACTTGATTTCACCATCCCATGGACCACGTTTAAAGTATCCAAGAGCATAAGAGCTAGTTTCCGACTAACAGACTGGCTACAATACAATCACCTCTATACAAAGAGAGTTCATAAATCTTGTCGGGGGTGGAAGCCCAGAAACCTGGTATTTTGGAGCAAAGCTTATGGGAAAAACAGAAGAGTTTTTAAAGCTTAAAATAGTGAATCTTCACAAAAGGAAAACAAACCCACTACTGAAACACATAACGATTACCTGACTGCTTACGAGAGTCAAAACCATGGCCTGGTACTGCCTTCCTACCATCTTACCACTCCCGTGAGGACCCAGAGAAAGGTGCACTCTACCTAAAATCTCGCTTCCTTCCACAAGCACAAGGCTGAACATGCTGACCTTCACAAGGATGGGGCAAGAGGAAAACAAGTTCCAGGACAGGAAAGAGGAAAACCCGAGGAGGACTTTCTGAGGGAAGTGGGCCTCCCACGGGCAGGGGCTGCCCTTGGTCTTCCTTCCTGCTCCTCCCATGGTTCACCTGCCGGGGAGGCTGAGGCAGGTGACAGACCAGCTGGCCTGAGCAGTACCTAGGGCTGCAGGGTCCTCGGAAACTGCTCACGCTGAGGCAGAACTTTGGGAAAACACCCAACATGAGAGAGTAGTCGTCACCGGTTCTAAAACCAAAACCTAACAGGTGGAGTGGGCAGGCCCATCCTAATACAGGGAAACAGTGGTCAGGAGCCAGACTACATGCTTACCTAGCTTGACCTGGAAGGATTTGGGGGCAAGAAAATTCCCCAATGGAAGGAACATCGACTCTGTAACTACTCAGAACTACTATACTGTCAATGACTCAGAACTACTCTTCAAAGGTCACGGTGAGGAGCAGTTCCCAGCCACCCACCTTTCTGCTCCAGGATGACAGACACCACATCCGGATGATTATAGGCAATGGCCATGTGCAGCGGTGTCTGCAGATAGACACTGTCCACGGAGCTGGTCACAGACGCGGCCTCCTTCGGCAAAGGCGGAGCTTCGTCTGTCTGCAGGTTCGGGTTGGCACCTTGCTGCAGGAGCTCTGCGGTAAGGTTGGCCAGGCCATACCGACAGGCTGTGTGCAACGGTGTCTCTCCCTGAACAGAAGCAAACGGCCCACCTCAGAGCACGTTCAGGAGGGCGCTAACGACAGCCTGTGTGTTGAATCCCGGGTCCCCGGGGGCAGTTGCAGCCCTTGGTTTATCCTGTCACCAGCTGACCATGAGGCGTCCACACCTGCGGGTCTGTCCCTCCCTTCCCTGTACGATCAGCCTCCATTTATTTAATGTCTGCCCAAGTGCCCTCCAAACACCCTGGCCCCTCCTCTTCTACGTGTCCAAGAACCTTCCTAACCACCCTTCCAGCAGTTTTTACTAAACAACCTCGACGTGCCACAGAAGGAAGCCCCAGGGAGACTGGCAGGGCCTCAACTGCGGCCCCGCGGGGACAGGGCTAACGGTGGGGCCACCGCGCCCCTCCCACCCCCACTGGTCTCTCTGACCGGCTCACATCAGCCCCATCTTGAACTCGGATCAAGTCCTCCTTCCACCACTTTTTAAAATTAAAAACATTTTAACCTGGTATTCCACATACTCGATTCACTATTCAAGAGGCACAAGAACATACAGTGACAAGTTTCCTCCCTGCCCTGTGCCCACACCCAAATCCCTGCCCAGGAAACCGTGGTACCAGATTCCTGCGTCCTTCCACGGACAGAAGAGTCACAGAAGGACAGGTACACAGACACACACCGCATCTTTCCACCCAAGCGGAAGGAATCCAATCGAACACACTGCCCTGCTCCTTATTCTTATGGAAGCTATACCTCATCCCTCTAGAGTCAAAGACTCAACAAGGCTCCTTGTGAAACACACTTCCTCTTCCCTAAAAAGAAATTTTCACTTTTAACTCTCAGCTGGGTTTCTGCATTCTCCGTGTTTCTAACTAACATGTTTCTGTTGCCACCACCCAGTTTTACGGGCTCAGGTACTGTACGTGGACCTCCCACTGCTGTGTCCTTGTGTCACAGGACTCAGCCCCCCGCCCCCCACCAACACACCCTTCCCCATCGACCTGTGTTGCAGTGTGGAGGGCCTCACTCAGTGTCCTGTGTCCTTGAGTCACGGGACTCAGCCCCCCGCCCCCCACAAACACACCCTTCCCCATGGACCTGTGTCCCGGTGTGGAGGGCCTCACAACAGTGTCCTCCTCTGTGGGACCATCTTCTGCTCCAGCCCCCTCCCCTCCACATTCGCACTGGGAATGCTCACTGGCCCCTATGACCCCACCAGAGTCTGCAAGCACAGGACTGTCACGCCCAGGCCTCCATCCGACATCTCTGCTCAACAGTCACAAAGTCAAATTCGCTATGCAGCAGTTCCTCCTCCTGGCAATTCTCGTTCTCTTCATGGCTGCATCTGGCCGTTCCACCCCCTCTTGACCCTGCTTCTCAGAGCCCCAGCTGCTACGAGTATAATTCCACAAACCCTCTGAAGCCTATCCCTGTAGGTCCAAATTCAGTATCCAAGGTCAGTACTCCTCGCTACCAGTCCAGGTGACTCCCACCAGCCCCGGCCTTGACCTCAACGGTGCACCCACTGGGCCAGCTTCCCAGGACCGCTTGTCTACTCAAAACCCTTCACATGGATCTTCTCTTCCCACAGGATAAAGTCCAAAGAACTCAACCAGCATTCCAGGCCCTTCTCCAGTGTCGCTCTTACTTGCCTTCAAATCGGGTCTCTTGAGGTGCATCTCAGGGTTCTCCCCGTTTTGTTAGGAAGGGTATAAGCGAAGGAACGGCTGGCAGACAGTGTGAGCTCCATACCATGAGAAATGAACAGTGGGCAAAACTGATGATGCCGGAGGAGACAGACACAGACAGACCCACACAACGGTCGAAGCAAAGTCGAGGAAGCCACCAGTGCACTCAGGGACATGCTGCTGCTCAGCTCGAGAGCAGGCCGTGCACGGTTTTAGGTGCAGAAAAGTGAGCACACTGAATGGTGGAAGAGGATGGTGTTGCCATCTCCCCTGAGCTTCCAAGACACTTCAGTGTGTCTCATGCACAAGCTTACGGTGTGTACTGCCTTGCCCGGCGCTGTTAAGAGAATGTGCAACCTTCCATCCTAGACCTGAGTCTTAATGCTGGCTCCGTCACTGGTGAGCCACTTAACCTCTCAGAGCCTCCCCGTTCTTTGCCCCGAAAGGAGGGATTTGGACATGTCGAGAATGTTCCTTCCAGGCCCACTCTGAGAATTAAAAGAACCAACATCCTCAAAGCTCTGAGCACAAAGGTGCAATGCAAAGTAAACGTGACCTTAGAGACAAGCACAGCCTCCCTATATGAAAATAGCAGTGAAAATAACATCACATAGCACCCGATGTCCTAACCCATTATGCTAACAAGCACTTACATGCGCCCTTTCCTTTTCCCTAATCCACACCTGATGAAATCAATGTGAATCCCATTTTGCAAAGAAGGAAACCGAAGCTCACAAAGGGTCAGTAACTTGCTTAAGATCAGACAGGGCAGGGTGAGAAATGGGAAGTCTTACCCCAAGGCCATGCTTTGACCAGAACACTGTGCAGTCTACCTTGTGAGCCTGAGACCCAGACTAAATAAGCACCCGCACAGGAAAGATTCTGTAAACCAAAGTATTATTAAAAATGGAGATTCTATGACGGTAGTTTGTGTGTACGAGCCTGGCAGTCTCCAGCAGACCTAGATGTCCGCAGCATCCAGGTCAGGACCCGGTATTCCACAAATGCTTAGGGATTGGTTGCTGAATGAATCAACCGACCAGTATCTGGGGACGAAACATCCATTTCACCCTGGTTTTCTAACCAAGTACATGTATGATCAGACAAAAACTGAAAAAGAAGCTATTTCTTCCCACACAACCAGTGCTGCCTTTCTTGCATAGACCCACCCTGCTCCCCTGGCCACCCCGGCACACTTACCCACTTGTTCCTGTGATTGACCTGGGCACCACTGGTTGCCAGGAAAAGAGCCGCTGCCTCATTCCCTGCTTCAGCCGCCCGCTGCAGTAAGCAATTCCCTGGGGGACAGTGAGCACACTCGTTTCCATCTGCACAACAACAAGCCCCTCCTCGCCCACCTTCCACAACGGACAAACCCACATCCCACACCCACGTCCACACAGGCCCTCTCTGCATGTGGACGCAGACACCGGATAGGCCTGGGTGGAACAAAGACGTGGTATGGGAGTCAGGAGACATTCATTCTTTCAGAGTCTGCCACTGGACGCCGCCCGGGGCCAGAGGGGAGTTCTGTCTCCTGCCGAGGATGGGTTAGAGCGCCGCTTCTCACTAGTGGTGCTGCTGCCATTTTGGGCCAGGGGCTCTTTGTTGTGAGGGGTCTGTTCTGCATACGGTACGACAACTAGATGCCAACAGCACCCCCAGCCTTGCTGTAACAAGCATGTCTACAGATGCTGCCAAAAGTCCAGGGGAGGGGGACAGTTGTCTGAGAACCTCTGGACCTAGAATGACCATTTCGAAGACAATGTGAGCTGAAGTTCTACCAGAAAACGCCCTTTACATTTTATCCCTGAGGCCCTAAATATGTTTGTTCCTGGCTTAGAAATGTTTTGCTTAGCACTGTTTCCTAAATAAAAATCTTAGGGAAAAAAAACATTTATTTTCTTCTTTCCCTCACGGAATGTTTTTAGCCCCAAAGCATCGTTTCCCTTTCTATTAACATCCATCTCCTCTTCGGATAAACCCAGAATCTCATGTGCTGCAGCTATGCTATTTGAAAACTCAAATTAAATACCAGGACTAAAAATAGGTAAAGAAATGGGACACGGCTAAAATCAACAACACAGGAAACAACAGGTGTTGGCGAGGATGTGGAGAAAGGGGAACCTCGTGCACTGTTGGTGGGAATGCAGACTGGTGCAGCCATCTGGAAAACAGCATGGAGGTTCCTCAGAAAGTTAAAAATAGAGCTACCCTAATTGCCCTACTAGGTATTTACCCAAAGAATACAAAAATACAGATACGAAAGGGCATATGCACCCTGATGTTTACAGAAGCATTATCAACAATAGCCAAACTGCGGAGAGAGTCCAGATGTCCATCAACAGATGAACGGCTAAAGAAGATGTGGTGTGTACACACACACACACATGCACACATGCACACATGCACGCACACACAGTGGAATATTACTCAACCATCAGAAAGAATGAAATCTTGCCATTTGCAATGACATGGATGGACCTGGACTGTATTATGCTAAGCGAAATAAGCCATCAGAGAAAGAAATACGATATGATCTCACTCATGGAATTCAAGAAAGAAAACAGATGAACACAGGGGAAGGGGGAAAAGAAAAGAAGGAGAGATGGAAACAAACCATAAGAGACTCTTAATGACAGAGAACAAACAGGGTTGCTGCAGGGAGGCGGATGAGGGATGGGCATTAAAGAGGGCACTGGGTGTTGTATGTAACTGATGAATCACTGAATTCTAATCCAAAAACCAATATTGCGCTGTATGTTAACTACTTTAAAAAAAAAGAAATGGGACAAACGCTTCGTTTTCATGCCATTTTTCCTTTTCTCTCAGAGACTGTGATTCCACCCCTAGCTGAGAGCCACCCTAACTTACAGACCCTTAATGAAGGTCCCATCTTCACTTCTGTAGTCATTCTGTGGCACACAAAACATGAACATGGGCCTCCCCATCAAATAAATAAAGATGACCTTCAACTGCTAAAACATTATGCTGAGGAACATGCATTCCATGTATAAGGACAATTGGAACAAGGAAAAAATAATAATCCTGAACTCGCACTAAAACTCAAAGTATATAAAGTAAAACTGACAGAACAAGCAAGACAATGGATAAATCCATAATCACAATGAAGAATTTTAATATACCTCCCAAAAGTGACAAATCAAGCAGTCTAACAGTAAGTTAATGTGTAAGATTTACACAGCATGATGAACACGCTTGATGCATGGACATAAGCAGAGACTAAGCAGGACATAAACAGTGAAAGAATGCACATTCCTAAGCGTCTGCCTTCGGCTCAGGTCATGATCCCAGGGTCCTGGGATCGGGTCCCGCGTCAGGCTCCTTGCTCAGCAGGGAGCCTACTTCTCCCTCTCCTCCCTGCTCATGTTCTCTCTCGCTATCTGTGTCTCTCTCTCTCTCAAATAAATAAATAAAATCTTAACAAAAAAAATTCCACATTCTTGTCAAGTACGTATCAAGCTTTCATAAAAACTGGATCTGCAGGGTGCCTGGGTGGCTCAGTTGGTTGGGCGTCTGCCTTTGGCTCAAGTAATGATCCGGGAGTCCAGGGATCGAGTCCCGCACCAGGCTCCCTGCTTTGCAGGGAGTCTGTGTCTCCCTCCCCTCTGTCCCTCCCCCTGCTCCTTCTCTCTCCCTCACTCTCTCTCAAATAAATAAATGTTAAAAATCTTTAAAATAAAAAGACCGGATCTGCAGGAACCTAACATTCAAGCCCTAAATATCAAAGAACTAATTTCGTATATAATGCAATGATCATATAATATGATTACATTAGAAAACAGTAAAATTATGGCCAATAACTACTATACCTTTGTAAATTAAGAGCAATTTAGTAACAATCTCGTTTCCAGAGGGTTTTCCTGATCCCCCTGGTGTGGAGTGCCCTGCCTTTAGCTCTCATGTCACCAGAGGGGTGATTTAATTTGATCTTTATTTAAATTATTAACTTCTTTCAGGGAAAGGGCTGTTTAATATCCATCCTTTTTGGCCCATTCCCCTCATCAATGACACCCACCCACGCTTTATACATAGCAATACAGATTATAATGGGATCCTTCTCCTTAAAATATTCCCATATTTTATTTAGTCAGATCAAGGAAATATCCACATTAAAACAGTGGTTCTCAAAGTGTGGTTGTTGGATTCCTGGGGGATCCTGAGTGTCTTTCAGGGGCCCACGAGGTCAAAACTGTTCCCGTAACAGTAACGCTGGATATGTGCTCGTCCCCCAGCAGGTCACGCTAAGGCGTGAGCACAAATAAACAAGGAATCCCAGCATGTACCCGTAGTCAGTGCATTACTCTTTACCACCATGCACCAGCCAAAAAAGGGGCAGTTTCTTGATAAAGCAGTAAAAATTACTAAATTTCTTAAATTTCAACAAGTACCTGTCCTTTTAGAACTCTGTGTGACATTTCATTTGTAACTGGGAAAATCCAATAAAAGGATATTCATTTAGAAAATAGCTACGACTTTAGTAAGCATCTGATAAGAAAAGCACAAAAAAAATAAATACATACATAAAATAAGATACATTTCTGTGTGACCAAGTAAGTAGCATGCATAAAACCGCATCCGCGGCGTAACGAAGTCCCACAGTGGTCTCCAGGAAAGGCACGGCAGCCGCTGTTTAAGCTGCAAGCTAAGCTAGCAGTTTTCTTCATGGAACACAACTTTCATGAAAGAAGGACTGATTAACAAACTGGTTATTTAAACAGGAGTATCCGACAGTCATTTTCCTGAAAATGAACAATGAGAGCCTATCTCTTTAAGAAAAACAACTGGCAATATTGTACCAAATGATAAAATTTGGATCTTGCCAGTGAGTATCAGAATTTTGGAAAACTTTTATCCAAAACTGCAAGTTTGCCAGCTTATCAACACTGGAAGACTTTTCTGATGAGATCACTGATGATATCAGTAAATGTCATTCTAAAATACACAAACATTTGGAAGATTGGTGTACTCAGTGAACCAGTATTTTTCAAATAATCAAGTCACGATGTTATAAAATCATGTATGGAGAAAAGATCCATTCAAGCACAAATGGACCACGGATTTTCATACACCAGAGTATGAAGAATTCACTGACACACTTTCAGATTCCACACTGCAACTGACTTTAAACTATCACTTGGTCAATTCTGCTTGCTATAGAATCTAAGAAACACATCCACAATTATCTGAGAAGACTCTAAAATATGCCTCCCTTTTCCAGCTACATAACTGTGTGAGGGAATGTTTTCTTCACATACTTTAACCAAAACAACCTTATCTCAAAAGGTTGAATACAGATCTGCATCTTGTATACAAGAAACCATTCACTCTTCCAACTAATTGTGTTTTGAACATTATTCTTCATAAAAAGATGCTATGTCAAACATATAATGGTTTGTTATTTTTTAAATTAATACATCTTTTAAAAATTTCAGTTTTAATTTCTAAAATGTTACATACTGAAGCTATAACCCACCGAAACTAAAATACTTGGGGATATAATTTTTAAGAGTGTAAAAGGAGTTCTGAAGCTCGCTGCACCAAATAAATGGAAGTGTTTCTGCTTAACAGACTCAGAGTCTGGCTGAACTTCTTCAAGCATAAGATTAAAAAAATAACTCAGGCTTTTACTACAGTGAAAAGCACAGACTGATTCCCCTAATACTATGCCATTTGTTTTCTAACTTTCTGGTACAAGTGCTGACGTGATGTTTCATGGACCCCCGGACCTGAGCCCCAGGCTCGGGGGGTCCATGTGTTACCTGTGACAGTGTCCGGTGCGTCCGTGTTGCTGCCCCTCTGGATGAGTCTGGCTGCAAAGCTGTTCTCATCAAATGAGGTCCCATTCACCACCGGGAGGTCTTCGAAGGGGTTCACCGAGTGGTCGGGAGACACGGTGACGTACTGCACTGCGAGCCACAGAGCTGTGCTGCCCTCGTGGTCTTTCAGTTCCAGATCCAGCCTGAAGTAAGGAAGCAATGCGAACAGCACATACAGTCCTCTGCCAACAGCCTCATCGTCTCTTCATACACATTTTGAATGACAATTTCTCGTTGACTTTCACTTATTACCATTCACAACACTAAAAGACATTTTAAAGGAGCTGTGTCTCATGCATCACCCCACCCTCCCGGCTGCTTTTCCAGCGCTCCACGTCCTACCGTTTGCACTGCAGCAACTGGCTGAACACACGTTCATTCCTGGCCACGATGCACGTGTGCAAGGGAGTCCTGTGCACGAGAGAGAAGAGGGGTCAACCCAGAACAGGCGTGGGTCAGGATGACCCACAGGAACCCCACGTTGCTGCAACAGTGTCTCTTTGTGCCCCAGCAAACAGCTTTCCAAAATCATGACCAAGTATCAAAGAATGAAAATGGACTTGCTTCTATGTCACCATTTAGTCAGTGGCCAAAAGGACAAGAACCAACAAAAGGAAGAGAGACATAAAATACTCTCCAGTTAAATGCTGACACTCCCTATTACTCATGTTCTTAAACAGTTTCTACACATGTACACCTATTTTCCCCACCTATCCTCCACAATTCTGAAAACAAATGTTTTTCTTCCTGTAACTCTGGGTTATGCTCGACCACAGCGTGGTAACAGGTAGGGACTGATGGGAGTGGCTTCTGACTGCCCTTCAATGCGTTTATGCAGCCCTCACGTGCCCTGAAGGACCCCCCCAACCCCCGGGACCCTTCTGAGGCATACGCCACCAGCGGCTGCTGCAGCCAGACAAAGTAAAACTAAAGATTCAACAGAAGGTAGAAAGGATGCAATTATTTCAGGAAATAAAGTAGTTATCACACGATAATGAGAGTTCAGAGACCCATCTGACTTAACTGTGGAATCCTTCCACACACGTCTATTTTCTTATTCTGACAACTGCACAGAACTCGGTTCTTATTTTGTGAGAGGCTTTTCCAAGCTATAAAATTACTGAGCTGTGACTACAGAAAGTGGGTCCCACTTGTTGGAGGTCCCCTTCTGTGCCTCCCATACTGCCGCCCCAAAGACACGCAGCCCTTCCGCAGACTCTAAACCACAAGGGGTCCTCAACAAGGTATTTCTGGGAAGAGGCCAAGGAACACAACGGCCGTCAGAGGTGTTGTGGGGAAGACACGCGCTCTGCCGAGAGCCGACCGAAGCCAGAGCAGTCACACCTAGTGAGAACTGGGTTTAACACACAGAATCTCCCAACAATCAGACCGCCTTGGGATGGAGTGTGCCCCACCAGCTCTGACAAAGATGCCGGGACAAAGTTCCTTTGGAGCAACTGGACCAGTGACCACCTGAACAAGACAGAAACTGCTTACAGATCCATGGACCTCGGCTCCCAGCAGGGAAATGATTTCCCCAAACGCCCCTGAGCTTAGTCGTGCCTCTCATCTGTCTAACAAGCCAATGTCTGCGACTTCAATGAAAATCATCCTGAGCAACAAGTCCCTGTCTGCTAGCTGTGTGTCTCCATAAAACACCATTCCGGAAAGAGCACCAAGAGCAGACGCCTGACCCCACTTACCTGCCCTTGCTGTCCTGCATGTTGGGGTTGGCACCAGCCTGCAGAAGGGCCTCTGCGATCTGGGCCATCTCAGACATCACATCTGCCGAGTGTTTCTTCGCACTGTACAAAGCCACAAGGTGCAACGGTGTGTCCTGGGCACCCAACGTAGCAGCATTGACAAGGGCGCCGTTCTTAATGAGGAATGTGGCAGCAAAGAGATCTCCTTGAGAAGAAACAAAAAGGGTCACCCATGGCAACAGCAGGGCAAGCTACTGGCCAACGCTGCCTCGGGAAGTCAGTAAGTGCAGACAAAGTAGAGGGACAACCGGGCATGTCTTAGCAGAAGAACCTCTGGGACACCTGTAAGGGGGAACTCGTCATCAAGATCACGAAGTCACACACTTGAATTCCAAAGGCTTCATTCAATTTCTGATTACCTGTTGTCATCTGTCCTGCCCCCTCACCTCAACATCACTATTAAGTACACCAGGCTTCTACACTTAATGGCCTCTCCTACTCATCAGCTCTCAAAGAGGGTTTCAAGACTCCCCCCCAACATAGTTGATGCCCCTCTCTCATTTCCTGACCACAGTCTGCTCCTGAGCAACGCTTACCGCCAATCTGCTATACTTACATACAGGTTCCTGTTCAAAGTATGACCCTGTCTGATTGATTTATTGTGATTAAATGTTCTCCATCTATTATGTACAAACTAACAGTCTCAACAAGAAATTCTCAACTGAATATTTGAACCAAGAATCTGTACACATTGTTCTTTACAAAAACTCCACATGGTAAATTGAGTGGTTGTCAAAACAAAGCTTCCTCCTAAGTCCCCTCCGCTGCCGTAACTCTTGGAGCATTTACAGGTGCAAGAGTCTGCCTGGGACTACTTAAAAATACCAAATTAGTTCTGAATAACTTACATAAAATCCAGTAAGTTCAACAGCTCAAACTGCTGTCTTTGACTATTCACAGTGCTCTGTATGAGGAAACACAGAAACTACCCTGACACCCTGACAAAAGGCCAAGAATTAAGTTTACATAAAGATACTAAAGGTGGGGGCGCCTGGGTGGCTCAGTCGGTTAAGC